CCACGGCCACTTGCCGTCATATTCATTGAAAACACATTGGTGCAGAATTTGTCATATACAAAAGGCTCAGCCAGTCGCCACCATTGTGTCGATCCTTGAGGCGGTGAAAACGTGTAGAGAAACCTATCTCTATACAGAACAACTCTCATGCAGTCTGTCCCAGAATAATTCCGTTGTACTTGTGCAGCAAGTGAAAAAGGGAGCTTTATCGAAATTAAACAGTCCTTTACCTCGTTGTCGGCTTGCAGCATGCAGTGTCAAATGAGAGCATGGAAGGAACCGTGCAGACAAAACCCATTTTCCAATCTCTTCACCTCCAGCCAGACGGAGCACGCTCTTCGAACCCTCTTGAGTTGACTTGATTCCAACTGGGTGGAACATTGGCAATATAGGCAAACGCCAGATACGTACACGTTGAATAGAATGTAAAATTGAAGCCAGACACCACCAGACCGACCAGTGCCGGGTCCAATACGGTCCTCTCTATATATTATACACATTCGAGGCGATTAAATTAAAATAATGTCTTGATTCTACATTAAATTACGTTAATTTTCCCTTTCGACGTGGGACGAAACACCATTTCCTGCTTTGGGCAAAAATTGGAGAAACAAATGAGCACTCATTAAAACCATTCCGGTTACTGGATCTGCTGGCTGTACCGAGTTGTCGGTGTGATGTGGAGATTTGTGCTCTGTAAAAAATAGCGCTAGATGAATTGTAATAGGGGTTTTATTATGCGTTTAGCATCAACTCAATTCGTCTTTTTTTTTACACTGAATTGTGAGGCTCAATAGAATTCGCTTTACGGAACCGATAAGTATGTCTAAAAAAAAGATCAACATTAGTTGATTTATTCCTGGGAGTTGACTGCTTGCTGCTTGTTGCTTGTAATTCCTCTTTGTTGATTGATAAATGTTATTAGCATCTTTTTTTTTAAGATGATGGTTCTCATGCATTCCATTCCATAATGATTAGATTAGATAACACCTAATCATGTTTTTTGTCAACAGTTGAAGTTTGCAGCATATCTGCGATACGACACAAACAACAAAACGGCCAGTTCTACTGCGTTGCATTTACCACAAAGATCATTCCGTGAAATGATTCGATTTTAAATATAAACAGCGAGGCATTTCATGAATCTACAGGGGTGGAAGAATGTGTGGACATACTGTACCATACGCTCCAAGTTATGTAGATGTGAATGCTACAATTGTTTCAAAATATAATACATGTATGATAAATTGAAAAAAAAAAATGCGGTTCCATCAATCCAATAACTTCAAATTAAGTGAGATTTGAATTTGCTTTCACCATTATAATACCTACATAGCAACATAACGTACATCACAATGGAATTCAATAAAATAAAATAATCCATCCTGAAAAATGTATTCAATTTCACGGCATTGACATGGTGTCCGAAAAATTTCGATATTTTACAATTTAACCTGCTTTCTATAAATGCCTTATTCTAATATAATCTGATCTAATCTAATACAAACGCAGCCAATACGAGAAAGCATCCTGGAAAATGATTAGGTTAGATGAGGTCTAATCATTTTTCTTGTCTAATTGATGTTTACAGCATATCTGAGATATGATATAAACATCAATACGGCCAAGCCTACTGCGTTGTATTTGCCGCAAAGATGATTCTTGGAAATTAAGGAGAACATTTCTTGAATCTACAGGGGTGGAAGGATGCGTACCAAACGCTCCGAGCTACTATGTGTATTTGTGTGTAATGTGTAAATATTTGTACAATATTGAAGAATCATAAAATAATGCAATCGAAGGATCTTACCGAATTTTTCCTATGTTGGTAATGATTCTTTTGCGCTTAAAAGTTTCATTGGATGCATCCGCTACTAATCATGGGGTTTGAGATGCAGTCCCTCGTCATTGCTCGTGGTTATGGTTAGTGATGAGATGGAGATTGATCATTTCTTTCACTAGAAACTACTGCTCCTGGCTGATCCGCCAGCCTTGCATCGAGCTGGAACTGCAAGCAAGCAAATCAATTAATTGCCTCCTCGCTCGAATCCTTCGTTGTGAATGGTTCCGATAGATACGCGCCCATTTTGCCTTGCAGGCAGCAGCACTTTGCAGGAGAAAATTTGCACGTTCGATTTTAACCTACTTCCACTGGATATTACTCCCCGACTTATTTTGTAACTTCCGGCTTCCGGATCGTTATGCACTTGTAACTAAACCCAAACGGACACGATTCAACAGCGTACATTAGAAAATTCAGTGGAGATCTGCTTTTTTGCAACGTTTCACGGCGGCGGTGAGGGAAGAAAAAATCCGGTTTGTCCACTCGCGGTAATCTTAAAAACTCTTTCGATCCTATTTTTTTAAATAACCAAACACAGCATTAATAAACACACGCGAAATTATTGAAAAAGTTTTCAGGTGTCTAAAATGCAAAAAAAATGTGCTAAAGGACTTATTGCACTAAATTTTCAATAAAAATCTCGGAAAATTAAGCAGCAGAAAATTCAAAATACGTCACTTTCAATGCACGGCCTAGCTCGATCTTTTTCCGAAACTACTCTGAAGGACTTCTCAGACTTACTCTGAAACTCTCCACAGAAATACTCAAAACTACGTTGAACTTCTCCTCAGAACTACTCTCAAGTTCTACTCAGAACTACTTTGAACTTCTCCTCAGAACTACTCTAAAGTTCTCCTAAGAATTACTTCGAACTTCTCGTCAGAACTACTCTGAAGGTCTCCTCAGACTTACTCTGAAACTCTCCACAGAAATACTCTGAATTTCTCCTCAGAACTACTCTGAAATTTTCCTCAGAACTACTTTGAACTTCTCCTCAGAACTACTCTGAAGTTCTCCTCAAAACTACTCTGAAGGACTCCTCAAAACTACTCTGAAGGACTCCTCATAGTTACTCTGAAACTCTCCACAGAAATACTCAAAACTACGTTGAACTTCTCCTCAGAACTACTCTCAAGTTCTACTCAGAATTACTTTTAAATTCTCCTCAGAAGTACTCTAAAGTTTTCCTAAGAATTACTTCGCACTTCTCGTCAGAACTACTCTGAAGGTCTCCTCAGACTTACTCTGAATCTCTCCACAGAAATACTCTGAATCTCTCCTCAGAACTACTCTGAAATTATCCTCAGAATTACTTTGAACTTCTCCATAGAAATACTTTGAACTTCTCCTCATAACTACTCTGAAGTTCTACTAAGAATTTCTTCGAACTTCTCCTTTGAACTACTCTGAAGTTCTCCTCAAAACTACTCTGAAGGACTCCTCAAAACTACTCTGAAGGACTCCTCAGAGTTACTCTGAAACTCTCCACAGAAATACTCAGAACTACTTTGAACTTCTGCACAGAACTACTTTGAACTTCTCCTAAGAATTATGTCGTGACCGAACTCGATTTCTGGACCATCCTTTTCCAAGCGGCTTTATCTGGAACCTTTTTTTTCTTTTTTTTTCTAGTTTTCGCTAAACAGACGACTTTTTTTTTGCTTCCGTTCGTTACGTACTCACTCTTAAGACTGATTTATTGTGTCCTTTTTATCAACTAGCCTACTATTGATTTCACCGATCATTTTCTTTACCTCAAACGATATATCTATTGATTAATCGATCTTAGTTGGTAGATCACCTTTTTGTGGTACGTTACGGGATGTAAGATGTACCACCTTGACTACTTCAAAGGAACACTTAGTCCTTGTTACTTTTTATGCCTTGTTGATAGTGATAAGACTCGGCTTTGCCCACCGAGGATGATCTTGAAACAAGGAAAACATGAGTTAGTGAGTCTTCATCTATGTGATTCCTAATCTTCTATTCGTTGATCTCTTTGAAGTGGGAAAGACTAGGGTTCTGACGCATGGTCATTATCGGTGTCATTCCTTAATTTTGTTGCTAAGGAATCCAATTTTGATTGAAAAAAGGGCGCGTCTTTGGAGGGTGTTTCAACACTCCGAAGGGTATAAATAGCGGGACCTTTCAATTAGAGTCGGATCCTTGCGATGAAGGCAAGAATGACAACTGTATCAAAACCAAATACTTCATCATTTCTCAATAGTGATGGAGTAATACGACATGCACTTAACTAAGAACACGAGATATACCACAAAAAAAACGCGTCCTCTTAAAAAAATATTTGAAGGAGTTTATAAAGATCTTTAATCTACTGAAGATCTTTGAAATATTTCCCGATAAATCTGATATCTAAAATAAAATCTGAGAAACGTTTCTTGAATTGATAAACAGTTGTCAAAATTTCAGTCTTGAACATATATTCAATGGACTTTATGGGGAGCTTTGATCAACTAATGGCCTTTGGAATAATTATTGGTCAACCTGATATCTTCAAAATATATCTGAGACATTTGACTAGAATTCTTAAACTTTTGAAATTTTCAGAACAATATATCACCAACTACTTCTGCACTGTTCATGTAACTTCCGAAAGGAGCATGGAACTTCTGAGATATTCTTAAATTTTTGAGCAGTTGATAGAATCTCCGAGCAGTTCTTAGAACTTCCGAGATGTTCGTAGAACTTTCGAGCAGTCCATAGAACCTCGGAGATGTTGAAAGAGCTTTCGAGATGTTGATAGAACTTCCGAAATGTATTATTATTATTATCTTTATTGAAACACATCTCATATAGAACTTCCAATTGTTTCACAGACATTCCGAGCAGTTAATAGAACTTTGGAGATGTTCATAAAACTTTCGAAATGTTCAGTTCATAGAACAACATTCGCGAAATTCATAGAATTTTCAAGATATTTATAGAACTCCCGTGATGTTTATAGAACTTTCGGACAGTTTACAGAACTTCCGAGCAGTTCATAGAGCTGCCGAGCAGTTCACAGAACTTCCGACATGTTCACAGAACTTCCGAGGTGTCCATAGAACTTTAGAGATTCTCATTAAACTTCCGAGATGTTTATCGAGTTTCCAAAGCTCTCATAGGACTTCCGAGATGTTCATAGAATTTTCGAGAATTTAATAGAATTTCTGAGCAGTACATGGAACATCCGAGGTGTGCCTGTTCAGAAATCAAAAAATGCAGTAAAGGAAGACGGTTATTTAGTCTCCAATTAGCCATTTAATTTTCTGTAACCGTTTTATCTTAAACATCCAACGTGCAATAAAGTGTCTATCCAAAGAACAATCTAGCCAGTCCTCCTCGCAGGGCAACTATACCACCTCAGCTTGATGTAGCCATGATCATCGTCGGTGGTCTGAAACCTAAACTCCTTGCCACCCGTCGGAAGCGATTCGAACTGATGTGTTATGGAGTACGTAATCTCCGGAGGAATCTCTGCTGTCAGTCCCGCTATCGTAGGATTCGGATTGCTTGCCACAGTATTCTTGAAGATGTGCTCGTGAGTTTCCCGTTTGACCTCGCGACATCCTCTCACGGTTCCCATAACGAGAAACCGATTCGTTGCCGTTTCCGGTTTGATTTCATTGCCAACAATGTCCCTCATTGTCAGGCGCGGGGTGGCTTTCGAAGCACGTGTTGGTTGGCGTGCTTGCTTCATTATCTTGGACAAGTCCGTATTTGGATCGGATCCGTCGATTATGATACGGCCGCGTTCTCTACGCCACGGCAGTTTTGTTGTGGTAAAGTTGGGTAATGCGGTACGTGGGATCGGCGTTGATTGTTTGCATCTGTTGATTTTTCTTAATCTACCTGTAGGCCTGGTTGTCATTGGAGATCTTGAATCATACGCAACGGTGTTTTTTTGGCTGCCAGACGGTCCGGAATTCGACAGTAATCCACCAGGTTTGATTTTCCGATAGGATTCCCATTCTCCTTTCAGCATAGGATGATCTTTGACGTCATAGTAATCGATTCCATTAGGGCTGTCGTAGTCGGTTTCATCGTCACTGAATTGAGGATCGGTAGGGCTCTTGAATTTGGCTGTGTGTGAAAAATCAATCATTAGGCTCCGAAATACTGCAGTTTCACCTTTGGGACGTACCGCATGCGAGCGGAATACAGAGCAAAAGAAAACAGGCACTTTTAATGTCCATTTTAGATAATTTGAATTCTCTGAGAGGATTAATTGTTTTTATAATGCCTTGGATGGCAAGTACAACAAGTGTGACAAATGTATTGTTGATTGTCGTGTCCATGTGTTTTACCACATCGCATTGCTATGATGCAACAAAGTAGGCTTTGAAAAATGAGTAGGATGTAAACAAATGATTGTGAGCCTACTTGGATGCAAATGTTTGTTCAACAGATTCCATCGATCCGAACTCCCTCTTATGGTTTCGGCCTGACAGCTTTCTTTGAACTAGCCGTACCTATCTGGTCCCTTTGTGCAACGTGTGGTTTGGTATTAGGTTGTTGCTTTTCAATCTCTACATACAGACATTATTAATTTACGGGACCTTTCTTCCGATTTCCAATGAACGAAACTGTACATCTAAATTACTGGCAACATCCGACCTTTAGTCGGATGCTTGTCATCGAAAAGCGCAACACAGCATCATCGAAGAAAGACCGGTCACTGAAGTCAACCGTCGATGCAGACTTGAATCCTAAACAAACATTTGCGCTCAGATGGTAGAAGCAGCTGATTGCAAAGTCTCCTGCCTTTATGTGGTTTCTGGTAAAATCAAACGAATCTTCAAGTAAATGTACGTTGGAACAAATGATGAAGGGCGACCCATCTTTGTTTGATTGTTAGAGGTATTTGGAGTTTTGAAGCAATGTAATCGTAAATTTATCATGATTTAAATTTATACTTGTCATGCTAAATAGCTCGCTGGATCATTTATTAGCATCAACATGGAAGTACAATCTTCTGGCAGAAAACTGCATTTTAATGGATATTCTTGTCAAGCAATTTTAGTATCACTATCTTCTTGGTTTTAAAAAAAAAAAAATGCCTGCAGAGATTACTGTTATTTGGGAATGGCATAAATTACTGCTGGAAGAAATAATTTCATTATTTTATTTTATTTGAGATTTCTAGTGTCAGCAATAACATTTGAAGCTGCTCGAATAAAGTGTTTAATTGAAAAGCACCCAACGAAAAATCGGCAAACCAATGAATGACGGCTTGGACTATGGCCCAAATGGGTACTACTTTCCACCATCAAATCTCATAGATGTCGCCCCGCCGCACAGTGGTGCAAAAGGCCAAATCCATGAACTTTTTTCATTAGCATCTTTCACAGAGGTTTTTTTCAATAGGGTGTCTTGAGAAGAGTTTTTATAAATTTAAGACAAGACCCATAGAATGAAGTTAAGTTTTAGTTCGGAACTTCACCATATGTGACGCAGCAGAATTTAAATTTTTAGTTTGACTAGATAGAGATATGAAGACTTCAACTAAGTTGTAGGTTGCTTTATAACTAAAAACTTTGTAGAAGACGCCATGTCTTTTTAAGAATCAATAAAATACACAACTTTACTCAAGACAAAAAGGTTCTATCTGCAAAACAGAAAATGTTATAGGCAACATCAGCTCAAAAATAGCCAATTTCCAAGCATCCACAAACTTCAAAGAGGCAAAAAGGGGCAGACGACTCATCAATATGATGAAACTATAATGAACATACTATCATTTCATCTAGTAGTCATTTGTATCCCATCGTATCCATGTGAGCTGACCAATGTTTTATTAACAGCATTCTAACCACCAACCATTGTTTGTTAGTTTTTGGCATGCCAAAACAATCCATGATTACCAGTTTTTAACTGTCATTCCAGCGTTATGGTACAAAACATTACGGTGCATTTGCGTTCTGTGAAAATCCGCCGATATTAGTTATGGGCAAATCACCCACGGCGCAGCTAATTATTGTTCAACTTACCCGTGCAGCAGCTGAATCCAAAAATGACCTTTCACCAACTGACAGGAAATGTGTAAGAAAAGTCATGACCTACCTAGTTATTATCCATCTCATATCTTCCCTCTCCTTTGGTATAAAAGTTATAAAAAGTATTTTTAAACAATAATCAATGATAATGAATTACTGAATCTTGATCCATCACTTCCTTTTACCTCAATCCCAGGTCCCGCAGCATAGCCTTCACCCGGTGCTTGATGATCGGTATGCCATCCGCCGAGTGCAACTCGCGTCCTGTGATGATGAACAGTTCTTTGAACTGCTGCGTCCGGTGGGTCAGTTTTCTGGCGTGCTGTGTTAGGAAAATCTCTAAACACTGCAGCGCATCCTCCGAGTGTAGATAGTGCAAATCCAACAAGTCCACATTGTTCAGCGTCAGCTTGTGCACCTCCATGATGGCATTCGAGGCCTTACTGCTGTACATATCGATATTGGTTCGATGAAGCCGGGCAACCTGGACATAGTACTCGGCCACCCCGGCCATGCCCCGCTGAATGGCATTCCGTGCCTTCTCGTGGCATTCGTTTTTCAGTTCCTGGTGGTCCTGGGACATATTGCGGCATTCTTCGGCCGTTTTCAGGTGAAGATTGATGTTGTCTTCGCTGGATGACGGTACCTGCTCGACCGTTGGAGGCGGCGACGTTGAGGACGAAGGAAGTGGTTTCTGTTTTTCGGCTTCTGCTCGCTTCATAAGGGCTTCCCGTTCGCGGGCGATTTGGTTTCTCAGCTCTTCCGGAATGGAATTGTTTAGGACGGTTATAGTGTCGCTGAATTTGTGGGCATGTAGGATTTCTGCCAAGACTTTCTCGTCAATGATAGGATACATTTTGGCTAGCTTTTGACGAGTCATATGCGAGGCCAGATCTTGCGGAGCTTGCTTAGCCCAGCCGTTGATTTCGCTTCGGTACGCCGTTAGGGCGTACTCCATTTCCATAATGTCGTTCAGGTTGGGGGAATCCTCGATGGTCATTTTGAACAAAACGGGATACCTTTCCTTCGCTTCCATTTGCTGTGCCAATCGAGCATCTTTTTTAATAAAATCTTGTTTTCCCCCTGCAGCTGCACATGGAATCCAAGAACGACAAAACAACTGTTCTGCCATTTCGGTGCCATGAAAACCTTTGTTCGTTCATTGGTTAGTTCGTATAAGGAGATTGCACCCGAGCCATGCTTATCCTTGAAAATGGCGATCCCAACGTCACTTCCAGCACTTAGGGATCGCTTTGCAAATCTTCCGCTTTGTCTTTTCTTTTCGTCTTTTCTTTTCGTTGTGTTCCGGGGTGATTTCGAGCTGACGGTAGACCGATCGATTTCGTAACCTCTTCCACCACCACCACTACCGGAGGGATCACCGGAAGGCACTTGCGATACCATTGTTTCAATGCAATCACATTCAAACGCGAGTAGGCCGCCAACCGCACCGGCTTCCAAATTATCCGCTGTCTCGAATTCGTATGTCTTTTGCTCTTCTAGCAACAGATTTGCTGTCCAATCACCGTGCCCATTGCAGTTCTCGAGCAAATCCCACAGATACTGGACCGGAATCCGGGGATAGAGGATGCAAATTTCCAAGAAGCTAGTGTTTTCATTTTTGCATCCTCGTCTGTGCCTGACCAGATCAATCCGTTTCTTTTCCGATTTCTTCTTTTTGCTGGGTTTGACTGGCGTCACACCTGTAAAAATCCGTCCTCACAAGTCTTCTCAGAACGGCCGTCCCGGTCGCGTTCTTATCCTGTGGCCGTGCTACCACGAGGAGACGATTTTTCGCAAATTCGTCCTCACTCGTTTTCTTAGAACGGCCGTCCCGGTCGCGTTCAAATTTCCAATTTTCCTTGCAAGTGGGTGATTTGCCCTTTATAACCTATCGGTGGTCTCCAAGATTCCAGGTTGGTCTTCCGGCAGGATCGCCAGAAATGTGAAAATCGACGCACGACGCAGCTAATTATTGTTCAACTTACCCGTGCAGCAGCTGAATCCAAAAATGACCTTCCACCAACTGACAGGAAATGTGTAAGAAAAGTCATGACCTACCTAGTTATTATCCATCTCATACGTTCATCAGAGAAATTCGTTTGCAAATAACATTCTGAAAATTGTGATAATATGTCCAACTGCACAGACGATAAGTCACATATTTTTTTAATTATATTAATGATATTGCGTTTTGTTTTCTGGATATTCTGCATTCATGTATTTTTTATGTTTGTGCTTGGTTTTTGAGCAACTACCAGTCAAATATACTGAACAACAATTAAATGAGGTTATCGATTCTCTATTTCAGTTAAAATCGGTAAACGAAAGCTGTTTTCATTTGGAAAAAAAAACTTCATAGGAGATGAAAAGGTTGCTTCGGTTTGCAACGAAGTTTTCACTCATTATGGAATTGAACTTGAGCTCATGGTAGCAGTTGCCATAGAAGCTAAACAATCTATACTATCGATATGCAGATTTAAAAAGCTATGGCAAAACCATAACCGAACCGAAGAAAAAGTATATAGCAATGATTACTTTACCAGCCCGTTTAAACTTCCTTCGAAAATTATTAAATACATTCCTTCGTCATCCTCATCTGCTAAACGTGACAGAAAGTTACTGGCATTCGAAGACAGCAGCGAAGTTGTAAAAAGACGGAAGACATCGGATTTAAGGAACAAATATCCAACGGCTGAGTGAGCATATGCTACTCAAATGAAACTAAGAGAGGAGGGTTAACACCGTTCCGCGACTATTGTGCATGATATTACACGAAGGAGTTCATCAATAAATAAACAGTGATAAAGACTTAAAGAGGTAGATATTTCCTATTAAAAATGCGTTTTATCAACTAATCTAAACATATTTTAAAGCTACTGAATTGATCATACCGGGAAGATATCTAGGACGACAGCGAATGATGATTTGATCCATCGGCTCCTAGAATCGTCAGATCCATTCATTTCTAGTTTAAGAGATTTTAGCGACAAGCTATAGATGGATTTGGTTGAGGATGCTAGAAATATGCTGAATCTACAATCAATTCACCAGCTGGAAGACACTGATTTGGAGTCAAAAGAAAATAGTGATTCCAATTGAACAAGGCTGATATTAAAATAAATAATTCAACGGGAAATTCTTTTTCAGAGTAATGAAAATAAATTAAACATAATAATAATCAATGGAATAAAATATAT